ATAAACGAACAAATGCATATCTTGAATAAACATCGACTACACATAACAAATATCGCAAATTATCATTATATCTTGCCAAATCTTTCATTTCAGCTAAATCAATACTCCACAAATCATTTTTTTTCCATACATTTATATTTAATCGATTATATTTTTTCTTTTTCTTTTGATACAAATTATATATATTTTGTTCATTATCTTCTAAATGTTCACCTTTTAATAATCTTGCGGCTTTTTTTATAAAATCGTCATTAATTAAATTAGTCTTCTTCTTCGTTCTCCTCATCGTCATCATTTACAATCGTTGGAAGAGGATGGTGATAATCAAGCACTGAAAGAAAAATGTCATTATATATTCTTTCGATTTCATCATTTCCATATTTTTTATAAATTTCTACAAAATCATATTTCTTTCCATTTTTCCTCTAAAATTTCATTCATAATTTCACTATGATAAACAACGCAATCATATATTGAAATATCCAATTTATTAGAAAAGTCTTTCAACATATAAATAGCTTTAATTACATTATCAATTTCAATGTCATTACCATTTTCAATATCATTTCCATTTTCATTCATTTTTTTTTTCTTGAAACGGTTTTTGACATTTCTTTTTTACTTTTTTTTTCTTTAACTTCCTTTCCTTTGGTTGTTTTTTCTTCTTCACTTTTTAATAAATCACGACAAGATGCAACAAATTCTCGCAATTTTTGTGATATAGATTTTAAGTCGTCATCTTTTCGAAATACACTTTGTAAAATTCATCCGTCCAATCAATCATCGAAATATCATTTAGATCGCTTGGTTTGAAACATTCATCCCACTCATCATTATCATCATCAACACAAATAGTTACACTTTCATCAACAGTACGAGATGATTTTTGTGTTTTTAAAATAAGTTTTCCTGATTCACGTTCCAAAATAACACGTTTTCGTTAGATGAAAACAAAACTTCATACAAATCTTCACCTTCATCTTTATTAGCAATTTTATTCAACACATGCTTGCAAATTCATTTGCAATTCGTCTTTACAACACAACCCATCATTGTATGGAGAGTAAACAGATTTTGAAAAAAAACATAACTTACTAAAACGATTAAAACTGCATACTTTATTTCCAAGGATTGCTTTCCCATTAGTATAACTTTGTAAAACCGTTACCAAATCTCTAAAAGTTTTTTTATAAATGGTAAACTCTTGAGCCATTTGTTTTATCTTTTCCTTAAAAAAAAAACTTATATCGATGTGTTGTTTGATGTGTTGTTTGAAATCAAATGATACAAAACATGAAAAATAAAATGAATATATACCCTACAAAATCGACAATTTTTTTTTTACAAAAATCAACAAATTTTTTACAAAATTATCAACAAATGTTTTTCATTAATCCCATTCCATTTTGTTATATTAATAATTGGTCCCTTAAAAAATATAATTCTTTACCAATATTTTTTCTATATATTTTGTTCATTTATATAAATATTATTATAGTCTCTGAGATATGATTTATATTTTAAAATAAAATTATAAATTTTTTTGATCAGTAATTTTCAACTCGTTATTCTTTGATAAAAGTCAACAATATAATTTTTAGAAAAATTTTTAAAAATTTTCGTCGAATTGAAACAAATAAATTCCATTAAAATAACAATGAATTAAATTATTCCCATTCATCATCACCACCAATACAGATAGTTCCTTCTTCTAACAAATACGTATTTTCATAAATTCCTGTATCTCCAGAATTTTCTTTTCTTGGTATTTTATCTCTTTCATAAATTCGTCTTCAATAATATAGCAGTGATAACAAATATACCATGATAAAAGTATTGAAAAAAATAATAATGTCATTAGAAATGTTGTAATCATTTCATTTACGACCAATTCCATCAAATAAAATCTTTAGTTCCTTGATATTTTCTTCCAATATCTTTATCCTGCTATTAAAAAATTCCACTTTCGTTGAATGTATTTCGTTCAATTTAAGAAGAATACAACCAGATATAAGTAAAAGACAAATGTAGGAATCATCCATTTCTCCGTTCTTATTGCTCTTTATATAAACACCCAAACATAAATTAAAATAATAAAAATAATACATAACATAAACAAAAAACAATTATAAATAGCATCAGCATCATCATGATTATTTTCCATTTTCATTGAATAATTTTTTTCTTCTTCAATCAATTTCTCTAATTCAATAATTTTATTTTCTTTATCTTTTATGATAATATCTTGCTCTTTAATCTTGTGGATAAGAGTTTCAATCTCTACATTCAGTTTTTCAACATCTAATTTTAAAGCAATCACTTCTTGAGAGTTTTCCTCAATTGTATTCAAAAAAAATAAAATATAATCCCTGTAAAACTGTTGTTTATTCACATTCATCATCAATTGAATTGATAGTTATAAAATATTCATAAGGAAAATTTTTCCAAATAAATTCATGATAAAAATGATCATATTCCAAAACTTCGATTGTTGCTTTATATGCTAGATTTAAAGTTATTAATTCACCATTTTCTTTTTCTAATTTTTTTAATCTTGAGACTAATAAATGGTTTTGTTCTTGAACCCTTCCAAATTTTTCTGCATCATGTTCATAATTTTGAATATAATGCAATTTTTTTCTTAAAATTTTATTTTCATTTTGAATATCTTTACATATTTTTTTAATGCAACAAGCGTAAAACTTTCGTTAACATCATCCATCTCAAATTAAAAATTATAATAAAATTTTCTTCTTAATACAGTTATGAGTATATATATGTATTAATCGACTACTAAGACATCGTCTTTGTCTTCAAGTTTTTTTAACAATGATTTATTTATATCAATCAATTCATTTTTTTTCACATAAAGATTTATTTACTATTTTCATTTCTTCAATAGTTAGAAATAATGTTTCTTCTCTTTCCACAAAATCTTTATTCTTTTCTTCAGCAATTCGAAGTCTTTCTTCTAAATCCTTTATCTTTTGTTCTGTTATTTTTTCCAACACGTAATTTGTGATTTGAACTTGATTACTATAATTTTCAAGCGATATTTCAGCTATAATTTTTTATCTTTTCTCTTTCTTTAACAGCTTCAAAATATTCGTCAAAAAGTATTGATTAGTCTCACGAGATAAATCAAAAATCTATTCATATATCCAAAACTCTCTCATTATCCATATTTAAAATATTTTATCTTCTCTAATAATTTCTTCATTGAATTTAAACCATGTCTTTTTTGTTTAAAAATCCAAGCGTTCTCTTTATATATACCAGTATCGTCTATAGATTGCATACATATTTTGAAATAATCATATTGTTCATCATTTTTATGGTAAATTGTATAAAAATATTCGTTGGTTAAAACACTATCTACAAGTAAAAAGTTCTCATCCATTTTTGTTCATGTCTTCATTTGTTCGTTCATCTTTATACGTAGGATCAGAAAAACCAAAAGGTAGATAAATTTGATTTTTTTCATTTTTCTTGAGTGTATTCACATACATTTGAGAATAACTTCCAACAATATTAGAGAATTTCAAATCTCTCCATGCCATTTTTTTAAATCATTATATAAATCAGAAGAAACAAACAAAGCGTTTAACAAATCGATATATCCATGAATTAATGAACATAAAGTAACTTCATTTTCTAACACCACTTCTTTAAAAATTTTTCTCTCTCTTTCTTCTTCCTCGTAAGCTTTATTTATTCTTTCCAAAGTTTCAGAAGGGATAGATGCCATTGATATCTTTATATACAATATACAAACCAAAACTTCATACAACGATACTATTGATATGATTGAATAGTAAATTTCACAACATATGTTTATAACAACAACCAACCAAGCAAATAAATACTTCGTTATCTACATTTTTCTTTAAAAACAAATTGTGTTCATTTTCTTCATATTTATTCAAGTCGAAAACCACCTCTTCGTTTTTTTCTTCATTATACCATGGTGTATTTCTTAAATCATTGTACAAATCTTCATTCTTCAAAATATATCTAATAATCCGAATATAATCATGAATAGAAGAAACTAATTTCTCATTACAAACAATCATATCTTTTAAAAAGTCTTTCCTTTTTTTTCGGGTATTTTTTCCCATTCAGAAAGATATGTTTGTGCTCGTTGTAAATTTTGTTCCATATTATATCAATAGAGTTAAAAGCAACAACAAAAAGAACACACTTATATATAAAATAAAATGAGTAAAATTTATGAATTTTTAACTTAATTTAATTGTAGTAAATGTATATATATCTATTTTTTACCAAATAATTATAAATATGTTAGTGAATTAACTTTTAATGAATTTATTACTTACCATATAAATCATATTGAATACGAAAAAAAATAAATAAAAAAATTCAAAAAAGAATTTAAAAAATGGAAAAAAGAAAAAACACTTTATATTATCAAAAAATTTTATAAAAGTGTAAACTTACTATTTTTTATTCATTTACTAAATAGGTAGGGTATAAAAAACTTAAGTGAAAATGTCTATTGGTAATATAAAGATAATATATAGAGATCTATTTTATAACTATTGCTTTTCTTGTAAAGCGTGTCAAAAATATAAAATTCATCATAATTTATACTCATTTCCAAGTCAATTACAACATATTCATTTTCATGCTGACAATTGTTGCACAGAAAACAAAAAAGAAAAAGAATATTTTGCAAAGAAACTAGAAATAGTTGACGAAGATATAAAGAAACTGAATTCTAATAGAGAAATAAATAAAATCATTATACCATATGATCACATCTTTAAGCTGTATATGAAATTACATTATAAATATTGTTTTAATTGTTCATTTTGTCAAACTCATAATATTAAATTATTGTGTTATGGATGTTCGCCATTATCAATTGAAGAATCTATCAAGTATCACGCAGAGTTTTGCTGTGAAGGAAACGAAAATTTAAAGAAAAAAATTGAAAAAGAAATTGAATTTATCGAAAAAAAAAGAAAGAAGGAAAAAATAAAAACATGATAGTTTATTGTAATAATTTGCGTACAGATTAAATTGCAAACTTTATTCATTTTCATACTGACATTTAATGGAAAATGCCTGATTTATTTTGGAAAAAATGGATGAAAACAAAAAATAGTATTGCGAATGAAAGATATAGAAAATTATTTTATAAATATTGTTTTTATTGTAAAGAATGTCAAAGATATCAAATGGAAGCTTTATATAGCACTTCATTACCAAAAAATCCAACATATTGTGTTTTTCATCATTTGTATGTTTGCTGTAAAGAAAAAGAAGAAATAAAAAAATTGAGGAAGAAATTATTTTTATTGAAGAAGTTAGGAAAGAAAAAACTTAAAATCAATATGTCATATAACACATACCATACAAGCAAAATCAATACAGAATACAGCAAATTGTTTTATAAATATTGTTATCATTGCAAAATATGTTTTGATTACGAAATTGATTTGAGTTTGAAAATTTACCAACACCAACTGCAGCAGAAAGTATTGATTATCATGCAAACGTTTGCTGTAAAGACAAAAAGAATTAAAAAGAAAAATTGAAGAAGAAATTCAATCGATAAAAGAAGAAGAAAAAAAGAGGAAAATAAAAGATATGTTAAGAAAGAAATTAAAGAAAAAAAAGAAAGAAAAACACATTATTTTATTTTTCTTTTTTTTAAGAAATTTAAATTATTGAATGGAACAAAATAAAAGTGATTATTTTCTTGAAAATAAAAGTGATAATTTTCTTAAAAAGGAAAGATATAAAAAATTATTTTATAAATATTGTTTTATTGTAAAAATGTCAAAGATCTCAAAACTTTTAAATAACGCATCATTACCAGTATACCCATCAGATTGTATTTTTATCATACATATACTTGCTGTAAAGAAAAGAAAGAATTACAAAAAAAATTGAAAAAGTTAATTTTATTCATAAAGAAAGAAATTATACAACGGTAAGATAATGTTATTAACAAAACTCAAATCAGAATATATTCATTTTAACCAAAGTTTGTTGTATTACAGAAAGAAAATACAAAAAAAGAAAAAATGAATGAAAATATTGATATAAAAACAAGACTACAAGAAATATCTTTATTTATAAAACAACAAATATTTTACTGCAAAAAGAAATAAAAGAAATAAATGATATGATAACAAAAGGAAAAGAAAATTTTTACATTCTTACAAATTACTTGATAAAATTAATGAATTAGAAAAAAAAGATAAAAATGTTTTATCTGAAAAATCAACATCTGATGAAGCAACTGGATTATCTGGTAAATCTAGTGCTCAAAAAACATTTAATTTACTTTGTAAAGGAGAAAAACCAGAAGCATTTAGTGAAGGTAAAAAAACATTTGATTTACCCAGTAAGGAGGAAAATCTATTAACATTCGGTGGATCTTGTCAATCAAAATTTGGTTTTGTGCTCAATGGTTCATGGCCTCATGATCAACCTAGTGGATTATTTTAAAAAAATTTTTTTAATATAACATTTTAAATTGTAAAAACATGTAATAAATTGTTTTTCTTGAATAAAATTGTTTTGCAATTTTTTACATTTTTTTTTCATTTTTTTACATTATTAAATTTATTTTTTTACAATTTTTTTCAACTTTTTTCAATTTTTTACAATAAATTTCATTTTTTTACAATTTCCTCTATATTTATACTTTTTTCTATATCTAGTTGTATCATAAATATTCAATCACTCAAAGACAGAAGATGTCTTTCAAAAGTAGAATTAATTCAATTATTCAAGATCTGAAATTTTTTTGGAAATATGATGGTCAATACTTGTTTATGACAAGTCTTCTTCATATTGGATTTTTTTTCTGTCTTCATAAAGTAACAACGTGTTTGGTTCAGCCTGCTAATATTGGTGTTTGTGATTAAATTTATCTCCACTTTTTTTGGTAAGCATATTTTAATTTTTATTATTTATTAACATTATGACACTTACTTGTTTATCATCATTTTTTTAGAAAAAATTTTATTAAATATTAGAATGTGTGACATACGAACGAAGTCTGGTTTTTATCCATATCTTTGTATGCTGATGAAAAGTTGGTTTAAGTAGTATTGGTCCGATAATGAATTTGGTGAACTATATGAATCCTTTTATCGATTTTATATTGTGGATAAAGCATTGAAGCGAGACAATTTGTATCATCAATAAATTGGACTTTGGACTTTCCATATTTTCATTCCAAAAATTGGACTTTGGACTTTCATCCATGTAATTATTTTGTATTGTATTTGAAAAATATCTTTTTTTATAAAATCTTCTTGTTTATATATTTTCTATTACTCTTATTCACTTTTCTAATATATATATGTATATTATCACAGGCTCACCCTTCTCTATTTTTATGTTTACTACCGCTGACTGCCCCAAAAACGATCCCCCCGTTTTTTTATTATAAAATGTATTATGACTATTTTTAGACATAATACATTTTATAATAAAAAAACTTGAGCCTGCGATGATATATATATATATATATATATATATATATATATATATATATTAGTTAACTATTATGTTGGATCATATTAATAACATGAAGTCTTCACACGACCAGCTGAGAGAAATGGGAATTCAACATGACGATGAAGAACTAGCAATGACCTTACTCTCGAGTTTACCGGACAACTTTAAGCCACTTATCACTGCATTGGATGCAGTGGGAGAAGACAGTTTGACTTTTCAAAAGGTGAAAGGAATGCTATTAAATGATGCTGACAGAGTTGCTGATTTGAACAAGGTCGAAGATGCTTATACAACACATCGATATTTTAAAGGGAGAGAAAAGAAATCAAAGGAGCAATGCAAGAAAGAAAATTATAGTAAACACACATTTCGAGGAATTTGCCACAACTGTAAGAATAGAGGACACCTTGCAAGAGATAGCCCACAACGCAAGAATTACAACTCTGGAAATTCAAACAGAGAAAACAGAACAGCTTATCATGCTGAGGTATAGTAGAATGAAGCAAGAGATGATGATGAAATAGCATTATTTACAAGTGGTAATAGTAAAAGATACGGCTGGATCATAGACTCTGGCGCTACCCAACATATGACATTTGAGGTAAATAATCTATCTGATTATTTTGAATTCAAGCAGCCATGTAAAGTTAATTTAGGAGATGATCGAGTGATTTTTGCTTATGGAAAGGGCACATACAGGTTATGCACTAATCTAAAAGGGAAAAGCCAAAGAATTGCATTGAAAAGTGTTCTCCATTTACCTGATTTAAAAAGGAACTTGTTATCAGTTCAAGCAATGATTAAACTGGGAGCAACTGTTGTTTTTAAAGATGATGAATGTACAATTTCTGAAGATTCAAGGTTTCTGGGAATTGGAGAAATGCAAGGAAAGTTGTATATGCTTAAAGTTATTCAAAGAGAATATGTGCATGTTGCTGAGAACAATCCCAAAATGGAGTTATGGCATTGTCGATTTGGACATTTGGGAAAGGATAATTTGTCTAAACTAGTCAATAATGATATGGTGACAGGAATGGTGAGTTCAAAAGATGAAGATATGTCAGACGTGTGTGAAGCATTTATAATGGGGAAACAGTGCCATGCACCGTTTCCTAAAAGAAGTTTCAATCGTGCGACTGAATTGTTTGAAATAATCCACAGTGACGTTTGTGGCCCAATGAATGTCAAATCGTATGGAAAATTTCAGTATTTTGTGACATTCATAGACAATTATTCACGATACACGCAAGTATATTTTCTTAAAGGTAAAAATGAAGTGTTGGAAAAATTTCAACAGTTTGTCAATGAAACAGAAAATCGTGGTAAAAGAATCAAAGTCTTCGTTCGGACAACGGTGGAGAGTATTGTTCAAGAGAATTTGGTGATTATTTGAAGTCAAAAGGAATAACCCACCAAACAACAGTTCCATATTGTCCTGAACAAAACGGCACCGCTGAAAGGTTGAATGTACAGAATCTAGTTTACGTCATGCAGGTATGCCAAAAGAATTTTGGGCGGAAGCATTGAATACCGCTGTATACATTCGCAACCGTAGCCCGTAGTCATCAAATGAAATTACACCATTCGAGATGGTTCATGGTGAAAAGCCAAACGTATCGCATCTAAGAGTTTTTGGATGTATTGTATATATGCATATCCCTGATGCTAAAAGAAGTAAATTAGATAAGAAATCAGCTAAATGTGTATTCGTTGGATATCTGGAAAACATCAAAGGATATAAACTATACAATCTCGAAAAGAAAGCATTTTCTCGCAGTCGAGATGTCATATTTGAAGAATGGAAATTTCACGAATGCAAGTCCAAGGACAGTTCTGAGTTTGACCGCAAGAATGATGATAATAAGACTACTGAAATCGAGGCAATTATCAATACAGAAAACCGTACGGGAGAAATTACAAATGAAGTAGATCATCCTGAAGATAATGTTCCAATACCATGTAATGGTCCAGTGGGAGCCACGTATGAAGATAACTTTCTAAGAGATGTGGTAAATATCAATCCACGACGTGAAAGGCGACCACCACAAAGATTTAATGACAAATTATATAATTGCAGAGAAGATTTAACCGCAGATATTTATTGGCCAAGTACTATCGCTGAAGCATGGAATGGAAAGAACAGTAACGAATGGAAGAAATCTACAGAGTTGGAATACAAATCATTAATCGAGAATGATACGTGGGATCTTGTACCACCACCCAAAAAGAAAAATGTGATTTTTAGTAAGTGGGTGTTTAAAATCCGATGGAACAGTCCAAAGATTTAAAGGTAGACTGGTAGCACAAGGCTACACTCAATCACCAGGTATAGATTATGAAGAAGTGTTCGCACCTGTTGTAAGATATACTTCGATAAGATCGTTACTTGCAGTTGCCACAATTTGTGACTGGGAAGTCCACCAAGTCGATGTTAAAACTGCATTCTTACAAGGAAATCTGGAAGAGGAGATTTATATGAAACAACCCGATGGATTTGTTGATAAAGAACGACCAGGTTACGTTTTAGATTAAAGAAAAGTATATATGGGCTTAAACAAGCGGCGAGATGCTGGAATAACGCGATTAACACTTATCTGTTATCAATTGATTATACGAAATGCACTGCTGATCCCTGCATCTACATCAAATCAGTGAAGTCTAAAGATCGTACAATTAAGTTCGTAATTGTAGCGATATATGTTGATGATATGATGTTCTTTTCAAATGATGTTTAGATGTTGCAACAAGAAAGAAAGCGATGGCAATGAAATTTCAAATTGAAGATTTAGGAGAGCTGCACCACATCCTTGGAATGACAATTTTAAGAAATCGAGGATCACGAACAATGTCTATTACTCAAACAAATTATTTAGAAGGTGTGCTCAAGAAGTTTGAGATGGATAATTGTAAGTCTGTTTCAACACCCTTGGAAACAGGAAAGAAGTATGAAAAATTGTCAGATGAAAATGAATCATTTGATAGACGAACCTATCAAAAAGCAATTGGTTGTTTAACGTACGCAGCAACAATCAGTAGACCAGATTTGTCCACAGCCGTCAGCATACTGTCTAAGTTTATGTCTAATCCTAGTATACAGCATTGGAAAGGAGTGAAGCGAGTATTTCGTTACATTAAAGGAGCACTGAATTATGGCTTGGTTTATACTGCTAAAAATGCAAGCACGATTTTGACAGGATATTCGGATGCAGATTGGGTAAGAGACATTACAACTCGACGTTCAACAACAGGATACGTTTTTCAAGTACAAGGTAACACAGTAAGTTGGTGTAGTAAACGGAGGCAGAGTACATTGCTCTGAGTACTAATAGTCAGGAAGGGATTTGGTTAAGAAGATTGCTGGAAAATATTTCAAAGAAACAAGATTGCCCCACCATCCTATAAAAAAGATAATCAAGGAACGATTGAGTTAACTAAGAATCCAAAATTTCATAATAGAACAAAGCATATCAATATATCGTATCATTGCGTCAGAGAGCAAGTTGAGAAAAAGAACATTACTATCAAGTATTGTAGAACTGAAGATATGTTAGCGGATGTAATGACTAAAGGATTAACAAAAATCATTTTGAAAAATGTAGAAGCAAACTGGGACTTTTGGAAGTTTAAGAACGACGAAGTATATTATCTATGAACACTATTAGTTAAAATTTATTAAATATACTATGATTATTAAGTGGGAGTGTTAGAGGGGAAACATATTTATAATAATCACATTAGTATATTACCAGTCCGCGTGACTACAGTTACGTAATATCGTTTTCGCTCTCTTCATACTTTGTTATGTTGATGAACACACTGTTATTGTTATACAAATAAAATCCATATTAATCACAATGATGTGACTGATCATTTTAATAGTCTCGACATATGTTAAGGCTATTTTCGCAATTGATCAATTTAGCAGGTCATTTATACATCTTTTATTTCTTAACTGGTACCAGTTATCGCCAAACTACAGTCAGTTGACAAATTAAAAATCAGTAATTAGGAGCACTTACCCTCCCCCCCCTCGACGTTGAGTGTGTGCACGTGTGTTATTTTTGCCAGGGGGTAAGAAAGAGAGTGTTCGGTATGTTTATTTGTATAGACAAAGACAATTTCAGCGTGGAGAAGGGATTATTTGCTCTTAGCAACCTTTCTTTAAGTGTGGAGAAGTAGCATTTCAACAAGCAGAAGTTAACATTTGCGTGGAGCAGTTCGTTTTCCATAGAGTACATTATATTCGTACGGAGAACACTCGGGTTTGTACGGAGAAACTTGATTTGAATGTAACAGCTACATATTTCTACGCCGAAGCTGTGGCACAAACGGGCCACCGTACCTATACCAACCTGGACGATCTACATCTACAAACATGTAGTATTCGTTGTATTATTTACATTGTTCTTAATTGTCGCCTTTCGCCTGCAATTTTCAGTAAATCAAAATTAACGTTGCACTAAAATGTAAACCAGTCAAACGCGTCGAGCGCGTCGAACGTCCTCAATGAGTCAACGACAAATAGATAGCTGTAGGGTAGATTTGAATAATATATACTTATTTCATGATATACTATTAACCGAGCCGAGGACTCGAGCTTGGACCCAGTGTCGCAAATTTGCAAACCATTCAGAAGCCGACTCGTCGCGCATAAATAATTCTTGATATCCAATTTAAACCAATTTAATATTTGTTTTATTATTCATTTTAACTAACGGAACTATTATTAAAGCATATTAATGTAAAATATTTTTGAAACCTTCGCTAATTTGTTTTTGTCAGACAGTTTATTCATTTTCGTCTTGTTTAAAATTTTTGTAATATGTTCAAAGCCAGCTTCGCCGCATTTTTAGTGTTTTCTCATCAAATGTACATTTAATTTGATCGAAGGAATGCCTTTAACTTGACTGTTGGGGCTGATCCAACTATGCAGCCTTTAATAATAGAATTCCCAAACTATTTTAATTAATAGTTGAATTTAAGCTTTCGATCTACTAGAAAATTGCTGTTCCTTGGTATAACAATAAATTTCAGATGCGCAGGAATTTTTGTTACAGTCAAACTTTTCTATTAATCTATTTTTTAATACCTTGTGAGTGTCAAATTAACAACATTTCTCGTTGCATACGAGTTGTAATTCTTGATTTGTTAACTGCTGGTAAGTATAGAACTCAGCATGACTTCAACCATGAACTTTAAATCGAATGTATATATATTTGAATATGTACAACAAACACAAATCATGATTATCCAAAGCGCTTGCGACATATTTCGATGTTGACAGGAAAGAACGTTTGGCTCCAAGAGCACATTCAATTGTGTACAAGTAGAAATAAAGACTTCCTTAGAACTCTGCATCAACTTCGTAGAAAATTGGAACTTTAAATTTTCTATGTTTCCTATGAAAATTAGAGATTTTTAGCCCGTGACATCCTACCCGCGAATCGCTACTCTAAGTTACACAATTCGCAAATAATACCTAACTTTGGAGGCAAAATTTGTGAACTTATGTCGGTCCGTTTATATGCAAGAAATTTTCGAACTACGCAATAAAAAAGGAGAGGGCTTAAACTGGTAATATAAAGAGTTCAAGGTCCGCATTCAAGCTACAGTAAAATATTTAAATTTGATCAGTTGTCTCAAAGCAAACATCTGTGCCTTGTAAGTTTTGTTTGTGTAATTAATGTACTTGATAATATCATTGGTAACAGTGGTGGTGTAAAACCGCATGAAATTCATTAAGACGGTCGATTCTATGTCCTTCCAGCAAAGTTTGTGTGATACTAAAATACATGTCGTCACAAAACAATTTTGCCATTTCCGATTGAGTATTAGACTAGATACACAAGTTCTTCTTTTAAATGATAATAGGTTTATTAGTAGGTGCATTTATAAACGTATACGCGTCATAATTCACTGTAAAAATCCAATCATCACAAATCGAACATCTACATTTCAAATCAAGCAACGTACACAATTCAAAACGAGCAAACATTCAAAACAAATACTCGCAACTCAAAGCATTACTCCAATGGAGCATAAAATCTTCACATCGAACGTGCGTTACAGACCATAGAAGGTCAAAGTTTTAGGATTCTATAGAGTGTTTGCACCTACGTTCAATAAGAGCTAACAATTTCAACTGCTGTATACTTTTACTTTTAAAAATAAATCGAACAATTTGAAATCAAATATACACCGGAAATCATATACCGACTCAACGCCGTAAATTGATGCTGTGTCAATACTTGGAATAGAAGTATGACCTGTTATATTTCTTTGTCTATTTTACTTGGTAAAAGGAGATAAAATCCTCCATTTTTTATATTCTACATATATATTTAAGCTTTGTGTATAAATGTTGTAAATATAAGTATGTGAGAGATTGATTGAAAGAAGACATCCTATTTCATAATTTCAAAGAAGCAGTTTGTTTTAGACCAGAGTTTGCAGTGACCTTGATCATCAATTATAGTAATGACCGTTTGAAACCAGTGGCGGATACAGGCCAATCGTTTACCTCCCTCAAAGTAGCATTACTATGAGTGCTCGTTTTAGCGCCGCAGCGTTGTAACTTTTTTTGATCGTAAGAGCAGCGCGGTAACAGGGGGCGGCGCTTAAAAGAAGCAGTGGCAAAACAAGGATTTCGGATTAAAGAAGCACTTAATATAATCAATAATTTTGACTGTTTCGCTCAATATCAGAGCTCATCAGCATGCCTAGGCATGCTTCTAAAAAGCAGCCAGACATGGACAGTCTACTTGACTGCCATTTAGTTAAATGGTTGCGAAACTTTGCCTTAATGATGCTATTATTTTAAGTTTCTTGTTTTCATGTTTGATGTTTGATTGTTGTTAATAATGACTATACGAACTTTAATCTTGTGTTATCCATAGCAAATCTGTCGATAACTTCTGACGTTTCGGGCACAATTTCTTGATGAACTCTCATCATGGCCAAACCGTTTAGACGCTCTGAAACCATCGTACTTCGCTTATAATTTTTCAGTTCGCGCAAAACTGAGAAAGAGCGTTCGCATTCACAAGATGTGATAGTAAGGGTTCCAAGAATACGAAGAATAATTTTGATGTTTTCAAAGCTTTCAAATTTTAAAGCTTTTAAAGTTGCTGAAATTGAGTCTGTAATGGTTCCTTCGTAATCAACCCAATAAGTTTCCCAAAGCAAAATCTCTGAGTCCAAAGCCAATGGATTGGGTAGGTCATCGTGATAAAAATTGGAAACAACTTTGAATTTTTCTTTCCAATTCATGCCATTGTTAAGAAGAGAAATCATTTTATATGGTACAATGCTAAGCCCATTGTACACATTAACGCTATCAGTATTGAAACGAGCTTTCAACGCAGAGTTTAGGTGGTCAACAAGTGGAATAGAAAAAATTCTTTTATAGTACTCAGATGTAGTTTTATAGGGACATTAGCTCGTGTTGTCTGTCTTCCCACTGTCCTTGGCTTTGCTTCATCAATATCTAATTCTCGAGCCAGTGCGAGACTCTTCATACCATGTATCGTGATACTTATCAATGGAATTCCTAACATTAACAACAAAAGTTTTCAACGATGTAATAAGATGTAAACCATCCATAATGTCAATACTCTTCCCTTGAAGAAGCTGAGTAACACCAATTGTAGAATCAAACACATTTCTACAAATAACCAGGGCAACAACAAAATCAAACTTTTCCAAAAGATCAAGAAGTTCAGAGGCATCCGAAGAAACATTGAGACTGTGATCTTTATCTACATTTTTCTTCATTTCTCTCAACGTTTTAAAACAGGAATAAGAAGCTGCTGGAAAGTATCTAAGCCGTCGATTCTCTCAACCCACCTAGTTCGACACACATCTATTAATTTCTTTTTCCTACCGGCTGATAAAGAACCATGAAGGTCAATATTCTTTTCTAAAGGTATTTGTCGTGTAGGGGAAATATTAAAAAAATCAGAAACTTTTTTAACTCTATTGAGCATCGATTTTACATCCATTATATTAATAGACTCACAAATCGCTAAATTTAATCTGTGGCTGTAGCAATGGGTAAAAAGAGCCTTATCATTCAAACGACGCAAATGAGCAGCCATCCCATTAATATGACCAGCAACAGCACCTGCCCCATCATATCCCTGTCCTCTACAATCAGCAATAGAAAGACCAAGGTTGCCTAAAGCATCAAGAACAACCTTAGCAAGCTGTTCACCTTTTAAGCCCCATTTACAAGGAAGAAATCCAACAAACTCCTCCCTAATATCCATATTTTGGTCGATAAAACGCAAAACAAGAGACATCTGTTCAGTATTTGAGATGTCTCGAGCCTCATCAGCAATTACAGAGTAGAACCTGCTTGCTTTTAAGTCAGAAATGATTTTATCTGTTATTACTTCACCACAGCATTTAATAAGCTTGTTCTGGGAAGTTTTAGAAATATACGTCTGATTCCTACCACATGAGTTCAGATGGTCCTCTAACACCTTGTCCCCAGCACGCACTCTAAAATTAAGAAGTTCAACAAAATTCCCAACACCACCTGCAGAAAAATTACCAGTTTCAGGATGATAGTGCCCATCATCACGATGACCTCTAACGGCTAAGCCCAAACGACCACATGTTAAGACCGTATCGGTAATTGAACTTAATTTAGCCCGGTTACCTTCAACTTCTTTCTTAACCTTAGAATCAATAATAACATTAATGCCTTTTGTTTTACCAGACATGTTAGATTTGAAGGCAGAATAAACTGGAAAAGTAGAAGCATGCAAACCATTCAAACCATGAAAACTCATTTTGCCAGCACTCTCTTTGCCATCATGACGTTTTAGCATTTTGGATGCATCTGTCCAACGACGAAGTGGCTGAGAGAATAGGTTGGAAATTTTGAGGCCTTATCTTTAAAATTATCACCAAAAGGACACATGGCAAACAAAACCCCATCCAAGGATGGAGAATAACATAACCATTCATACCTTTCTAACCAATCATAACGAAAAGATCTTCCATTCGTTTTTGGGAATTCAAAATTTTCATCTGGTCTATAAACATTTACTATGAGATTGTAAATTTCCCCATCGCTCATGCCTTTTCTTTTTTCTCTGAAAGTTGCAACATCAAAATTAAGGGGAATATGACAGTCAACAAGAGAAGAAGCCTCACTAAATGACACTATTTTATCAGAAGGGGGTTTTTTGTAGCAAGTTGCATCAAGAGAAGAAGACTTGTCAATAGATAAGGTGCTAAGGCTAGACTTATCAGTTTTAAAATTACTGTTAGAAGGTTTATCAATGCAAGACAGCTGGAAGAATCGCTTAATATCTTGGTGTTCTTGTAGAGAAGAGTTGTCAGGATGCTTGCGCTTTTTGTTACACACTTTATGTTTTTCATTTTTTGTTGAGCAAAGAAGAGGAACATAATGGTTTGGCAAAAAGCTCTCGCCAGACTTAACCTTGCCTTCATAGCAGAATAATATGTGAACAGCAACATCCTTCACAATTGCTTCATTTGCCAAGCGAGGGTTTACATGTCTATTAAAAAGTAATTTGGGTCTTATGTCCCCACAATCTGGATAATAAGTAAATATTTCATTACCAATAACTGATGATAAGCCCAGAATACACAAGAAAGGTGACCAGGTACCATCATAACAATTTAAAATAGCTTCTTGCTTAATTAAATCCTCATTCTTTAAGCCGGAATCTAAACATGAGGCCGATACTGATAATGGCAAAAGATTAACAAGACTAAGGTCATGGTGCTCAGTCACTGCCAAAGAAAATGCAGGATGTTTATTGTAAAAATCACAATGAAGGTATAGCTCAAGGGAAGTCAGTATTCTTAAAATACTTACTAAGCTGTTGTCTCCTACAAGCAGCAAAGATACTGAGCTGTAAAGACAATTCCCTGATGCTTGAGATCTACAAGGTTCAAAATAATCCCTCTTTAGTTTAAATTTCTTTTGTGTTGTACTAAACAGCGTAACTTTAAATATTAAACATCCAATAATGTTATATTACGTATTTAAAAACAGCTAAGCACATGTAACATTGCCATATAAAGTTATTCATTCAGATTCTTAATTTTCCTTACATAGATAGTATACCAGTATTTCAGTTAAATTTATAAGTTATTATTCGCTTATTTAATTATTCGAATAAAATACAAACTTCGATTGGTAAACGAAGGATTTCTGCACTGGCAAGTAATGCAAAATATAAGAATTAAGGCGCATCTCCACTAGACGATTTTTGTGACGATCGTCTTAAATTTTCGCGACAATATTTCGAACACGAATTATAGGACGATTTTGTTAGTCATCTCCACTAGACGATTATTTCGCGGTGTTTTCCAATAAACAAAATGGCGTCTATAAATAAAAGATATATTCTATATTTGCTGCTTCGTAGAAGATATTTATTTCTTTACAATCTTCACCAAAAAATGCTCAGGGAGAACACCAAAACAAGAAAAAGGAAACGTCGATTTTGGATAAGAAAGCTGTACGAAGAAAGAAATGTGAAAGGAGAATATAAGCTATTGATAAATGATATGCGACTTCACGACCATGAAATGTTCTTTAGATACTTTCGTATGTTTCCAAAGACATATGAAAGTTTGCTAAAGTTGATAGGACCCGACATAAAGAAAGTTTCAACGAAAATGAGAGAACCTATTGGACCTGACCAAAGACTTGCAGTGACACTACGATATTTAACCACCGGTGATGCCTATTCAACTATTGGCGCTAATTATAGAATGAGTGCCACAACTGTTGGCAGAATAATCGATGAAACGTGCAATTCAATTTGGAATAGACTGAAGGAAGCAGGTTATATTGACACACCTTCTGGAGTTGAAGTATGGAGAAAAATTGCCAATGAATTCGAAGCTCGATGGAATTTTCCGAATGCACTTGGCGCAATTGATGGCAAACATGTGTTGATGTTTGCTCCTGATAATCAGTCATCCTCTTTCTTTAATTATAAAAAGACTCACAGTATTGTGCTCATGGCAGTATGTGATGCTCGGTACAAGTTTACTATGGTTGATATAGGTGATAGTGGACGGCAAAGTGATGGAAGTGTTTATGCTAACAGCAATTTAGGTTATGCTATAGAAAATAAACTCCTGAACACTCCACCTGATTGTCAAATTTCAAGTTCTAATAAGGTTTTACCATATGTTTTTGTTGGAGATGATGCTTTTGGTCTAAAAAGACATATGATGAAGCCATATCCATTCTCCAATCTTTCAGAAAGTAAGCTAGTTTTCAATTATAGGCTCAGTCGTGCAAGGAGGGTAATTGAAAACACATTTGGCATTTGTGCTAGTCGTTTTCGTGTTTTCCACAGGCCAATCATTGCAAAAGTACCCAAGGTTATTGCAATAACAAAAGCAGTGGTTGCACTGCACAACTTCCTGATGACTATAAATGAAACTGACAGAGAAAGTCACTATTACCTTTGTTGACCAGGATGGGCCAAATGGACTGCACCTTGGTGAATGGAGACAAGATGCAAATATTATGAATGGTATAGCTTCTATTCAAAATGTTGGGGCTTCAAGAAATTATGGTGGGGAAGCTAAATGGGTTAGAGAACAGTTTGAACATTATTTTAACAATGAGGGTGCTATTGACTGGCAATGGGACAAAATAGGCAAAGCAAAATAAATTGATTCTCGTTTTTTAATAGGACTTGGAAACAACTAATGAATAACATAAAATGTAGATAATTGTTAAGCTTTACAGGAATGTCATTATTTGGCTAAGCAACAGAATATCAATTATCACATATACAATGTTATTCATTAATTAACAATATTCTATATAGTCTATTTATGTAAGCATACAGGTTTTTTATATATGATGAGAAAAGAGAATTCATCAAAATGTTAAAATTAGTTTAGTAAATTGATTTTTTCAAACCCAAGAAAAAGTTCAAGGTAAATTGTAATCAATTCAAAGCAATGTTTAATCACTTTTATTATGTAATGAATTCTCATGATTCCCACCACATGTGAAATATTATTTTCAAACAAATTTGTCAGACCTATTATGCTTGTTTTGAGGTCACCAACACAGAAATAAAATTCATGTTTAAAAAAGGAAAAATCTTAAGAATATGTAAATACCAAAATTGTTATATTGTTAAAAACTGAATGCATATTTTATCTCATTGATCATCAAATTCTACGTCAAATAAAAGTTGTTGAATTTTAATTTTTGCTAATCTTAGCTTTTTTTTATCAAAGTCTTTCAGCACAGGTACAAGACTCATGCAAAATGCTGTAGCCTCATCATCCGCAGACTCTTTGTTAACAATTTTGATTAGTTGATCATCCATTTGCTTGATTTGTTGCAAAAATGGGTCATAAGTACTTTTTTCAGATGAAGGTCTTTTAAGCTTTTTTGAAGTATTTTCATCAATAGGTCTTTCAGGTGTCGGTGTTGTTAGAGTACACGGACTTGCAGGTACCGATAATGGTGACATAGAGCAAGATATCGGTTGAAATGGTGATGTGGAAGAAGTTGATATAGCAGGGGAAAAAGCATCTGATTGATCCTCAAAATTACCAGTTTCAATTACATGGCTGCATGCTGCAGGTGATATGTCAACATTGCTATGAGTTGGCAAATTGGAAGTTTTCTCATGAAGAAAACGCATCACTTCAAAATATTTGCATGTAGGTAGACATCCTGCAGGAGCACCTGATCTGGTCATGGCCCTTCTTTTGTCCAGGCATTTCTTTAAAGAATCTTTTAGATTTTTATAAATTTTCTGTAGGAATGCCACTAAAAAGTAAAAATTCAAAAACAAATTACCAAATGTCATCAAACACATATGACAAAGACTTGAATCAACTAGAATAAAAATATATGTTGTCTCGAATGAAAAAAAAGTTGAAATAGGCCACAACTCAGAAAGGCTGGCAGAAAAGAACTGTGTAAGTTAGACTAGGGATTCATTTTGGACTCACAGCATACAGACCCAAAGGAAATTTTTTGGTTTCATGCAGACACCAAACATCAACACAGTTCATTGACAGCCCTCCATTTTCATGTGTAACAATTACAATCCTAGAAGTATTTTTGTAGTAGGATATTGTTTGATTTTGGCATGTAGATAGGCAAAGGAAAACTGTAAAAAATGGAAGAAACTCGTACCTTCTTGATTAAACAATGATGACAATGCATTCCATGCATTCACTTTCATATTACGATTTTTGTAATTGGGATCACTGGTATCCCACAAGCATTTATATTCTCTTAATGCTTGGAGAAACATTTCTTTGTCAAAGGTATTGCCTTCCACAGAAAAATTGGACTTTTGAGACTGACTGTCCACTTCTGATGAGTGTGGAAGCTCTGTAATAATTAACTCAACTTCTGTTGTTTCTTCGTTACTAGTAGCCATGTTGAAATCATTAATATGAACTGCTAGGTTGGCCATGTGCAGTGTTTACTCATCTCTGATATTTGATTGGCTAAAATTTTGACGATCGTAAAGCGCTTGACGAAAAGTTAAAACAGTTTAAACTTTTCGTCAGAATCAAAATCGTCAAAAATTTCGTCCGAACGAAAAGCTTTTTGCCTCTGCGCATGTGTCGTCGCGAAAATTTAAGACGATCATCACAAAAATCGTCTAGTGGAGATGGGCCTTTACAAAACATCAGATATTGACAAGCTTATTAAAAATTCAGATAAAGCATCGTAATCGGACAGAAATAGAATAAAAGCTAAATTGAACAGCCATATAAACACATCGTTACCTGATTGCAGTGTAGATCTTTCCCTGCGATTTCATACTGCTTGGAATATATGTCCAGCGACAATATGCCGGTACAGTGAATTGCCCAGTTTTGATCGAAGCAAGTAAGATGAACATCTTGGCTTTGAATTCAACTGCCCGCGTAGCTCGTTGTACAGAAGCAACAGAGCTTCTTTGTTGTTGCTGTTCATTGCCTCTTGGGCTTCTAGAAAACAATCTCTATCCATTTTCAGAAGAAATTGCGTGCGGTAAATGTTAACGATACTAGTATCTCGAAAGTCGAAAGTCGAAAATAGTGAGGTACGCTTGCTGTACTTGAGGGAGTTGATAAAATGCACCAATAAAATGCACTGTTAGAATAAACATGGAACATCGTAACCAATCATAGACATTATTCCAAACAAAGTTCAAGGTCAAAACCAGCTTGTGCCTCAAAATATTCTCCTTATGCCTCAAAATTTTCCTTGGTACCTCAAAATTTCCTCAAGTCCCTCAGAAACCATGGTAACTGCAAGTTTTAGCCAATCAAAATGCTCATTCAAGCTTGGGTACCTCAGTAGCCGCTGACAAGTACCTCAAAAAAATCGCTTTGCTTCAAAAAGCAAACTATAAAAACTGGAATCAGATTTGAGTATTTTGCGATCAGATACTGAACGCTGATCGCAAATAGTAACTTAACTCAGTTAACTGGACTAAAACCTATGATCTCAATTATTACGTAATTCTTTGAAAATTTTATGTACCTCGCGTGAGGGTCTTGAGGTACCCTAGATCCGCCACTGTTTGAAACGCGCTAATAATTATTGCATTATGCAATTCCCGAATAATAGAAGGAATTATATACAATTCAATACGTGTCTGTTTACGTGCAAAGAGATAAATTTGATAAAAATATGAGATGAAGACTTTAGATATAAAAAGAGATCTTTTCCATTTAAAACCTATGACTTAAACTAGTTAAACTTCACTACGAGTTGTGTAACATGATTGATTTTTCCAAATAGATATTCACGATGATACAACAGTAACAAGATCATTTGACTTAATAGAAAAAAATTAGTACAACACAAACTACATCCATAGACAAAATGATTGGTTATAAATAATGTTCAGTTACATGAATTGCTTTAAAGGAGAAAAAGACCTATTTGAATTGGGCGAAGAAACAAAATTACCCTAAAAGCATTCATGATGAACCGTTTAAGTTGACCCATTGCCAATACTTAGCATTTAATGACCTGTAATTTTAATTTCAGACAGGAAGTTAAAAGGACTTATCACGTTGTAAACGAAGTCATTTTTTATAGTGATTTTTTGCAAGATTAATGTTTTCGTGGTCAAGGCTGAGAACCTCACAATAACCATTAGGCAAAAGCATTTTATGTAGTTAACATTGGTTTTAAAAAGCTGAGATTACTTAGACCATTGCCACTAGGATGCATTTATAGTAAAGTAATTTGAATGAATTGTTCCCACCTTTGTGCACAGTCTGTTTACAGGTATCAATATCGATGAGTTTTTAATTTCTCTGACTAAACAATTTAAGACTACCAGAATTTAAAATTATTTTGTATTTGCAGTATACAGTAGAGTTATTTCACATTAATTTAAACAACTGTGATCATGGGAGAGCATATTTATCTGCTTGCAGAAATTGACCAAGACAATATTTGATTACTTGTGACTAGTTGATTGATTTAAGTCAAGATTTAAAAAACACATTTTAATGGAAATTTTGAATGGGAACTTTGTCCAAGTATCAATGCTTCAGAATTATACGTTATTTTGAGTTCGTGATGCTTTAAAGAATGTTAAGTTTGCTTAAATACGTTTTGGATGGACGAAGTCAATCGACACGGACGAAGTCAATCGACACGGACAAAGTAAGAAATTTATGCAATTAATAAGCAAGAAAACTTATCAATACTCTTCTCACAAAACATGCTGGTGCCCAATGGTCACAACAAGGAGCTTTTCAATCCTCACCACGAAAAATTCCTGAAGAAAACCAATTAAGATTTGTACCTAGGTAATAATACAGCTGCCATGTTGATTCTTTAACCCCCCCCCCCCTCCCCCCCCAATGGCGTACAGAAAAACAGGGACGTCACGTGCGAACACATTATTTGGTCAAGTCGATTCAGTTAGTAAAGTTTAAAAAAGGATCACCGTCCTCATTTGCTAAAAAAACCTTTAGAAAACTACTTTATGTGCAATGTTGTAGTACTTTTTTTTTACATCACAAATGGGATCTCAAATTATTTACCGAGAAAATTAATAACGATTTTTAAAAGGAAATTTTATTAAATGACAAAAAAAAACAAAATGTAAATTTAAATATGTGGAGTAATTAACTATAACTAGTTTGCATGCATTGAAGATTAAAATGTTCCTTTTAATAGCAGTTATAGTACTTTACTATAACTTTTAACTCTGTCGTTCTCATCTTCTCCAATATAGCTGAGCCGTGTTCCTCTTTTGGCTATATTTTCAAAACTTCCACCCTCGCAGTTTAAATTAGGAAATAGGAGATAATCGTATTGTTGATCTGTCACGATGTATGATGACACTCCATCGCCACATTCACTATCTCCCTCGAAATATTTGCTAACATCATCACATCGGTCTTCTTCATAAAGCTGTGAAAATATCTGTCTCACATAAAATGGTCTCATCGTTAAATCGTCATAAATAATTAATGCTAGCTAGTCTAAAAGTGATGATTATTGATTGTAAATGAAAAACGTCATAGCTATATTAATAAGGATATAGATAATATAATATACGCCTATGTATATGTGTGTATGCATAAATATGTAATACATAGTGCTATATATGCCGGCATATTTTACATTTTTTCTCTTCGTACTAGCACATTTCTCACCTTGTACTTTCCGCAAAAGTTCCTATGCTGGAACAGCACTATGCCAGAACTACCTGGAATGATTCTTACCGAACCATTGATTCCATTCAGTTTTTGAAATCCTGTTCTCTCTTCTATAATTATTGTTTCACATTCTTCTTCAGGGCTACAGCTTTTGTACACAATCCACGCACCTCCGTTGCTTTCGGCTTCCGTGTAGTTAGTTAAGGCTGGCTTTAAGTTATAAGAACCATTCTTTAAATCTTGGCTGTGAATAGTCTCTTTAGTACGATCATCTTCATTTTTAAATGTGATCGACATGACTGAAATGGAAATATTTCCTTTCTTAATCGCAACTAACTGTTTGTGACAAATCCGAAAACTTGTTTCTTTTATATTATCTCATCCGACACGTGACTTATCTGCCTGTGCTTACGACTTGTATGTGTTGGTATGCGTGTGTACGTGTCGGTAAGTTTGAGAACAAACACCTACGTACGGAAATATGTGTCTAAAATACGTTTGCGAACTCCTGCACTTTTTATCGACGGGTTATATTTAAAAGTGGCAATGTGTAAACGAGAGAAGTTTTCGTCTTTACAGCTTCTGGCAGAAATTAAATGTAATAATTACAAAAAACATTGAGATTTGGAAAATTTTTTTGAGAACATATATTTTACTCGATCATGATCTTTTGCATAGCAATATGTGTACACCATAATGGATAAAAGAGCATTTCATTTTTGTCTTAAAAGCGTGATTTAACTTTCAAAAATAAAGTAATACAACGGTTCTACATAATTCTGATTGCGTGCTTTTCAAATTAATTATTTAATGGCATATAAATAATTGTTCCTTCACCTCGATCCGTGAGTTTGTTATGTTGATATTTAAATCTGCAATTGGAATAAACAACGGCATGCCGTCATTTCACATTTTAAAGTCGTTCTTACCAAAGGATTGCTTGGGTGTTGAAATGTAGTTTGGAACTTTCAATTTTCTCCAAACGAGGTAAACAGCGAAATGGACCTGCAATTAATTATTTGAATTTGCATAACTTCATTCTCATATAAACGTGATGCTATTGTTGTGACAACTGTTCGCCTGTGGTTTTGATCTGATAAAAAATTTTTGACCTTGACATCTTACTCTATTGTTCGCATCAAATTATTTAGTATGCTTTGACATGTTAAGTTAAAATTAAAACAAATTAAGTTCGTGCGTTGAAAAGGTATCTGTCCTTTTTTCTGTCGTTATCATCGGCAAGGGCGAATTTAGGAATTTGCAAATTTGCGGCACAGAAAAAAAAACCCAGGCGACTTTAAAACCCCGCACATCCTACAGTTTGTATAATCCTGTCAGATTTTCAGTAATAAGTAGAAATGAAGTTACTATTTACGATTTATAGTTATCCTTGCGTACGTGCGTTCGATCTGCAGCCGTGCAAAGATGAACGTAAGGCCTCTAATGCAAACCGCCCCTTAGAGCGTAATATTGCACAGAATAATATTCGTTATATTATTTACATTGTCCTTAATAGTCACCCGTTACCTGCAATTCTCAGTAAATCAAGATTAGCGTTGCACTAAAATGTAAACCAGTCAAACGCTTCTTGATTTGCTACAACGCGATAATTTACTTTTGCCTCATAATGACCTCATACTGATGCAAATGTCGTAAAGCTTTTGCAAACAGGACTTTTGGCAATTTAGTTGGGACTTCAATTATCATTTTAGGTTAGTGTGGTTTTACCGAGAGCAATAGCTTGTTTAATACGCGCTGATTATTATTTGATCGGCATAGGAGGTTTTGTTTTAAGTAATAATATACTCATATCTATTAATAACCGAATATCACATTGCCGAGTCAGGAACTATGCTGACAACAATACAAATTATAGACACTTAGACACCAACATAATTCCTTCTCAAACAACCATGTGATGTATGAACCCGACAAAATACTGAGATTTTTCTTTTCTTGACTGAGTTGACTTTGGCGATGATTGCTC